AGTGCTTATGTTTTCTTTGGATAATATCCAAAAGTGGATTTGCTATATCAAATGGCAGCTTTATTTTTAATAATTTGAGGAACTTCCATACTGCTTTCTACAGTGGCTGCAACAATTCACAATCCATCAACAGTGCATGAGAGTTCCCTTTTTTCTCCACATTCTCGCCAGCACTTGCTATTTGTTGATTTATTGATGACAGCCATTCTGACAGGTGTGAGGTGATACCTCATTGTGGTTTTAATTTGCATTTCCCTCATGATTAGTGACAGTGAGCATCTTTTCATTTGTCTGATGGCCATCTGTATGTCTTCTTTGGAGAAGTGTCTATTCAGGTCCTCTGCCCATTTTTAAATTGGACTGGGCTTTTATTAGTGTTAAGTTGTATAAGTTCCTCATATATTTTGGATATTAACCCCTGACCAGAAGTATCGTTGGCAAACATCTTCTCCCATTCAGTGGGTTGATTTTACATTTTGTTGATGGTTTCCTTTGCTGTGCAAAAACTCTTTAGTTTGATGTAGTCCCATTTGTTTATTATTTTCTTTTGTTGCCCTTGCTCCAAGTTATTGCCAGGAATAATGTTGAAGAATTCACTGCCTATTTTTTCTCCCGGGAGTTTGATGGTTTCAGGTCTTAATTTAAATCTCATTACATTTAAACTGATGTAAATGAGTTTATTTTTGTATGTGGTAAAAGAATGTGGTCCAAAACTGAACAGATACATGTCCTGTTTTCCCTACACCACTTGCTTCAGGTGTATTTTTAAGTGAAGGCTTCCAATTGTGTTTTGAATATGCACCTCCATGCTGTGGAGCCCAGACACAGACACGTGTGGCAGGAAGATGCGAACTGTGATCAGCATGGCTTCCTCTGGTGGGTGCGACTGAAGGGCCAGGCCTTTGACGCTGTGTATTTTGCTCCTGCTTGAACTTGCTACAGAGGAGATATTATTTTTATTTTTAAAGAGGGAGACAAAGAAAAGGGTAAACTACATATTCGTATTGGAAAAGGACTGAAAGGATTAATTTTAAAAACTATCTCTGGGTCATTTTTATTTTATTATAAACTTCTTTTTTTTTTTTTATTGCTTAAAGTATTACAAAGGGTATTACATATGTGTCCATTTTATCCCCCCGCCCTAGACAGTCCCCTAGCCTCCCCTATCCCCCAATGTCTTATGTCCACTGGTTATGCTTCTATGCATGCATACAAGTCTTTTAGTTGATCTCTTACCCCCCTACCTCCTGCCCCGCAACCCTCCCCGGCCTTCCTGCTGCAGTTTGACAATCTGTTTGAGGCAGCTCTGCCTCTGTATCTATTATTGTTCAAAAGTTTATAATGGTCTCTATTATCCATGAATGAGTGAGATCATGTGGTATTTTTCCTTCATTGACTGGCTTATTTCACTTAGCATAATGCTCTCCAGTTCCATCCATGACGTTGCAAATGGTAAGAGTTCCTTCCTTTTTAGAGCAGCATAGTATTCCATCGTGTAGATGTACCACAGTTTTCTAATCCATTCATCTACTGATGGGCACTTAGGCTGTTTCCAGATCTTAGCTATGGTGAATTGTGCTGCTATGAACATAGGGGTGCATATATCCTTTCTGATTGGTGTTTCTGGTTTCTTGGGATATATTCCTAGAAGTGGAATCACAGGGTCAAATGGGAGTTCCATTTTCAGTTTTTTGAGGAAACTCCATACTGTCTTCCATAGTGGCTGCACCAGTCTGCATTCCCACCAGCAGTGCACAAGTGTTCCTTTTTCTCCACATCCTCTCCAGCACTTGTCGTTTGTTGATTTGTTGATGATAGCCAGTCTGACAGGTGTGAGATGGTACCTCACTGTTGTTTTGATTTGCATCTCTCGGATGATTAGTGACTTTGAGCATGTTTTCATATGTCTCTTGGCTTTCTGAATGTCCTCTTTTGAAAGGTGTCTATTTAGGTCCTTTGCCCATTTTTTGATTGGATTGTTTATCTTCCTTTTGTTAAGTTGTATGAGTTCCCTATAAATTTTGGAGATTAGGCCCTTATCAGATATGACATTGGCAAATATGTTTTCCCACACAGTGGGTTTTCTCGTTGTTTTGTTCATGGTTTCTTTTGCTGTGCAGAAGCTTTTTATTTTGATGTAGTCCCATTTGTTCATTTTCTCTTTCGTTTCAAGTGCCCTAGGAGCTGTATCAGTGAAGAAATTGCTTCGGCATATGTCTGAGATTTTGTTGCCTTTGGATTCTTCTAGAATTTTTATGGTTTCCTGTCGTACATTTAAGTCCTTTATCCATTTTGAGTTTATTTTTGTGTATGGTGTAAGTTGGTGGTCTAGTTTCATTTTCTTGCATATATCTGTCCAATTTTCCCAGCACCATTTATTGAAGAGACTATCTTGGCTTATAAACTTCTTTAGATTCCAAAATACATATGTAATACTTCTATAATAAAAAAAAAAAAAGCCATGAAAGGAAATAATCTGTAATACCAATGGTAGAATCAATTTTAATCTGTTTGCAAACCAAAGGTTATGGGGTTGGGTGTTCTTTAAAGAGGTGTGGATCCAATTGCTTTTACTTCTTTGGGGCTCATGCTTACTTTTATTGCTGGTGAAGCTATTTCCACATTTTAAAAATGATTTCCATTCAATGTGGCCAAAAAGGAAAATCAAGGCCAACCACAAGGCACACCTTCCTGAGGAAGACAAAAAGCCACTGTACCCGCGGAATGAGAACTTCACCAGTGGAAGGCGACGCCTTTGTCACGAGCGACTTCAGTTGCTGGGGGGCAGGCATTTTTAATGAGAACAAAGAGCATCAGAGCGATTTCAGGGCTCCGGTTGTCTTCCAGGCCCAGACACCGTAACTCTATATCACAGTGACGGAGACAAAGAACAAGGTGTCCCATTCACCCCAGGCCTGCAACCCGAGGGCCCCGCCTTCCAGGGCCCTGCACCGCAGTGGAAAGGAGAAGGAGCGCTCAAGGAGGCGGGCAGGCAATCACCATAAACCGTACAAATGAGGGCAGAGAGTGGGCAGAGATGAAAAGGCGCCGTCTGATCATTCACCAGTGGGGAGAGTGCACTAAATCAGGGCCTTTCCTGCCGGACGCTGTTGTTTTTACTGAACAGTTAAGCACCCAAGGAAATACCAGTTGGGTCTTAAAGACAATTTATAGCTGGGCTGGCCTCGCCACACCTGGCGGTGTTTTGACAGCAGAGATTCTTGTCTACACAATAAGCTGTCACTAATGCACTAGACCTTTGGAAGGAACCTGTGGCTCAGCGGCTAATCTCTCCCCTCCAGGTACCCTTCCCCCTTTTAAGGAAAAGCAAAACCTCCTGCTGGTGGCAGGCCTCAGACTCTGCAGGGGAAATCAGGAGCCTCCTGAGAGTGAAGGGCAGCCCCGCACAGCCCGAGGCTGGGCCCTGGCTAAGGCCTCTTTCTGAGCTCTTCCCTGGGGACCAACTGCTGAACTCCACAGACTTGTTCGGATCCAGGAAATTTGGGAGTCTGCTCTCTGAGCTCCCAACTTTTCCCAGCTAAGAATGTCCAGGACCCTGGCAACAGCCCCGCCTGGGCACACTAGGCAGTGACTCTAGGGCAGGGGTGGGCAAACTTTTTGATTCGAGGGCCACAATGGGTTCTTAAACTGGACCGGAGGGCCGGAACAAAAGCATGGATGGAGTGTTTGTGTGACCTAATATAAATTCAAAGTAAACATCGTTACATAAAAGGGTACGGTCTTTTTTTTTTAGTTTTATTCATTTCAAAAGGGCTGGATCTGGCCCATGGGCCATAGTTTGCCCACGGCTGCTCTAGGGGATTGCCCCCCGCCCCCCCCCACACACTACACACACACACACTAAAACAAGGGCCAGGCTGGCTTTTTAGGATCAGATGGCCTCACCCTGTTTCCCTGAGACTTTCGTACTCAGCGAGCAGCTTGGATCGGAAGGTACCTTCTTAGAAATCAGAGGCTCATTATAATCAGTGCGAGTTGAAAGCCCTGCCCTCCCAGGACCAGGTGCTGCCTTCCCTGCCCCTGCTTTGTTTCCCCTTTTAAGGACTCGGGATTTTAATCTCTTTTTGATTCCAGAAGGATTGGGCCAAACAAACAACTTTTAACAGGTGGCCCACGGCAATGCGACTTTGCTAGGAATGAGTTCCTGGCGGCTGGTGGCCAACATTCCCGTGTGGTGGAGCAGCACCAAGATGTGAGGAGAGGGGTGGAAAGGTAATGGAGAACACCCCCTCCTGCTCCTTAATTTCATGGTTCACAGACATTCATTGACATTCAGACACTCCCAAAGGGAAGCTCACATACCAGCCATGAAACCAGAAACGAGCAGGCTAATGGGGCTAACGGGTCCAGGGAGGGTTCTCTCCGCTGTGGGGGTCCACTTCCACCCGGGGGTGGGGGGTGCAGGGGATGCTATGGTGGGCAGCTGGGTGGGAGAGCTCCAGGCCTGCAGGGGCCTCTGCCCAGCCCACCCAGGGTGCCCCTCTGGGAGGGACCGGCGCTGCCCCAGGCTCAGAGACAGTACGGAGTTCATAGGGACAGGTCCCAGTGTCTGAGACAGAAATGCATCTGGCCGGTCACTGGGGTGCGAAGCCAGCCTGAGGAAGGGATGCCCAGCTCGAGGAGGAAGTGGAGGGGCGGACCATGATGGAGAAGCCATGGAGAGCGGGTCAGAGGAAGCTGCTGGCGGCCGCTCACTGTCTGGCCACATCCAAAGAACAGAGCTGGAGCCCCAGCTGCAAACCCACCCCGGCGCCGCCACCGCCACCCAAAATCCGCACCGCACATGGCAGGCGCTCCCATCCCCTCGGCCCAGGGCGGGCAGCATCCTCGGACAGTGTCACCTGGGGCAGGGGCCGGCCATCGCCTTCCTGGCGTAGGGATGGGAGACTGGGCCTCGGTGCGGGTTCTTTCCCATTTCTAACAGGCAAGCACCTCACCCCTCTCCTCCCTCCGGAAGTGCAGAAGTGCGGCGGGCTCACCTGGGGAAGTCCCGGGCACTCCAGCCAGTCTCGGAAGATGCTTTCCACAGACAAACCCAGCCTTTACAAATAGAAAACAAGAGGGAAAGGGTTAGAAGTTAGAGCACCGAGGACAGAGGGTCTTTCCAAATATTCGGGCACAGGACAGCATGGCTGTCAGAGAAGCTGTTCTCTGAGGAAGAGCCGCCGCGGCAGCCCACAGCGCCCCGCACACTCCAGGCGGTCTGCGGTGGAGGATGAACCTGAACCTGAGCAGCCGGCCTCGGGCCTTTCCCGCCCTTGGAGGAACGCCGGGCTGGGAGCCAGTGCAGGGACCCGGTATGTTCACAGACACATCAGGCACGACCACTTCCTAAGAGGGGCGAAACGAAACCTGAGCTCTGCCTACTGGGTGCGTCCAAATGAAACTGGAACTTCATGGTGACAATGAGCGGGGACAAGCAGGAACGCATGATCGCTGTGGGAGCGGAGGAAGGCGCAGATGCTGCCGCCGCCGCCTCCGCCTAGGCAAGACACGTTTTATAATTTCCATTGAAGACAAGATGCTCAGCGAAGGCCCGCCCTGGTTGGGAATGAATGCAGACCACCGCCACCTAACCCGGCACCCAGGTGGGCATGTCACTGGTTGGGGCCCGGTTCCTACCCCAGCGCTTGAGCAGCTGTGGAGGTTCTGCAGCCTCCACATCGTCTGCCCTGGCTCAGAGGCAAGGCCCAATTCTCCCCTCTCCCGCCTTCCCTGGTGCTCCTCTCCAAGCAGCCGTTCATCTGCGGCCTTTCCAGCTGGAGAGGGACACTCCTGTGTCTGGAGCTCTGGGGCCCAAAGCTCTGGTCACCCAACCTGCAAGGGATACTCAGGAAATTCGTTCGTAGCAAGAGGCTGACTGCCGCTCTGGGGAAATGGCAATCTAAATCTGCCTCAACTGGAGGGAAGATGAGAGTTTAGAAACAACGTAGAAAAGAGACTGGTGATGATCAAAGAGGCAAACACATTAGATCCACATGGAGGGCAAGGGAACTGGGATGAAACATCCTGAAGAGGAGGAGTCTGGGGAGTGACTTCACACCATTTCCCACGGGTTCTGCAAGCCCGCACACAGCTGCTGAGCATCCCTAGGGAGGAGGGCGAAAGAGGACAGGGACGTAAATTTCCTTCGGGGAACTTTAGCTCGAAGACACTTCTTTCGGGGTGTCCTGGGAGGGGCTGGGGAGTCGAGTGCTGGGATGCCATTACGGAGTGAGGTCCAAGTCCTCAGGGGAGAAGTGAGGACAGGCAGGGCTTTCTCCATGTGGCAGACACTCGCGGGTGCCTCCCGGCACAAGGTTCTGTGGAAGGATGAGGTGCGAGAGCCCAGGGCCAGGCTGTCCGACAGGGACACAGGACACGGGTCAGAATGCTGCCTGTGCTGGTGGAGAGACGTGGGCCCCACGTGTGTGGAGAGGCCCGGGCTGCTTATGGTGGGACAGCTGGAAGGAGGTGCGTTAGGGAAGTGTTCTTAAAGAAGGCAAGGCTCCAAACGTCGTGGCGGATGGCTGTGCCAGTAGAAATGGAAGGGGAGCACAGGCAGGAAAAGCCAGCACCATCGGCTGGACTGGCACACAGAATCAGGTGACAAAGCACATGGGCGTCCTGTGAGGGCCCTGAAGCAAGGCTGCAGAATGGCATGAACAGAACAGAGTCAAGGAAGACTAACTGAGGGAGAAGAGGCTGGAGGCAAGGAGGCCAAAGGGGAAGCTGTGAGTGTGTCCAAATGAGAGGTGATGAGAAGGGACCTAAACGGAGGTGAGATGCTGGGAATGAAAGTGGAGGGTGGCACTGGCGAGTCCTGCTGGAGGGGTGAAAGATGGAGTCAAACAGTGGGCCCCGTCACTCTCTGCAGGGTGACTTTCCATAGCATGTCTACGCCCATGTATAATTCATGCTACAGCCTCCAACCTGGACAACTGGCCAGGCCAACTGTGAAGGTTATTTCGTGGGAAAATATTAAGGCACATTTTGCTCTGCCATGTTCAGTATCTGCACGCACAGATACCATTATACAGTGGCACTAAAAACAGAACAAACTCCTCTGTCACTGCCAACAAAGGGAAATAAAGGAATAACTATTGATCTGATCAAGATGTCAGCGTAGAGACTAGTAAATGCAGTACTCAGAACCTGCAACAACCATATCAAAATTACAACTAAATTGCAGAACAACCATCGTGCAGAACCACTGAAATTTAGCTGAATAGGAGTCCTATAACTACGTAGATCCAGAAGCAGCCACATCAAGATCAACAGGAGGGGTGGGGACATGGAATGGGAGTGTGATGGTTAAACATTGGGAAGGATATCTCAGCTGCAGAGGTCCCCCCTGAGGAGCCAGGGTTCCCAGCTCCACATCAGGCTCTCCAGCCCAGGGTTCCAGGGTCTGGAAGAGAAGTCCCCATAACTTCTGGCTGTAAAAACCAGCAGAGATTGTGGCTGAGTGAAATGGAGGGCTGCTGGAGTCCCAGGTGTTCCTCTTAAAGGGCCCACACATGGACTGACTCGCTGACAGACTCACTCTAAGCTCCAACACTGGGGCACCAGGGACAAGCAATGAGGAACTGAATTGCTTGGAATCAAGGCAAGAGCTGGGGTGTGCAGTTTTATTCCGGACAGAAGTGCTGGCAGAAGCCATTGTTCCTTTGCTGAACCCTCCCCTCAGAGCCAGCAGACAAGCATCATATCTGCGTCTCCATCAGCCTGGCTAACATAGTTCTCCCCACCCTGGTGATTCCCTGACACACTGCCCCAGCCAACTTGCAGTCTCACCCAAACCCTTTCTTGTGGCTTTTCCATACAAATGGCCTATCTTGGCTCCTGAGTTGAGTGTCTGCCCCCTGGTGGTCAGTGTGCATCATAGCGACTGGTCATTCTGGTTGTTCCGCCATAACAGTCGCTTAGGCTTTTATTATATAGACTAGAGGCCCGTTGCAGGAAGATTCCTGTAAAATAGGGCTTCCTCCACTGCCGAGCTCCACCCCGTCTCCACCGCCTCGCTCCTTCCAGTCTCCGCTGCCGAGCTCCCTCCCATCTCTGCTGCCTCGCTCCCTCCTGTGTCCGCTGCCTCAATCTGCTTCCATCTCCACTGCCTCGGCTCTGTTCCCTTCGCCGCCGCTTCGCTCCCTTTTGCAGGGCTTGGCTTCCTTCTACACTGTCTTCAGTCTTCGCTCCGCGCCTGTGTATACAAATGAACCGCCATCTTTGTTGGGCTAATTTGCATATTGTTCTCATTGGCTGGTGGGCATAGTGGAGGGATAGTCAATTTGCATATTTCTCTGTTATTAGTGTAGATAGCCAAGATATGAAAGTAACCTAAGTGCCCATCAACAGATGATTGGATAAAGAAATGGTGCATATATACAATGAAATAGGATTCAGCTATAAAAAGAAATGAAATCTTGTCATCTGCAACAGCATGGATGGACTTAGAGGGTGTTGTGCTGAGTGAAATAAGTCAGACAGAGAAAGACAAATGCCAGATGATTTCACTTATATGTGGAATCTAAAAAATGAAATAAACAAACAAGCAGAACAGAAACAGATTCATAGATACAGAGAACATTTTGATGGTTGCCAGCTGGAGGGGGTTGAGGGGATGGATGAGAAGGTGAAGGGGTTGGGAAGTCCAAATTGGTAGCTACAGCACAGACATGGTAATGTAAAGTACAGCATAGGGAATATAGTCAATAATATTGTAATAGCTCTATATGGTGTCAAATGGGCACTAATTTTATTGAGGTGATCACTTTGTAAGTTATATAAATGTCTAATCACCTGAAACTAATATAATATTGTACATCAACTGTAACTTAAAAATAAATAATATTTTTAAAAATAATTGCTTATTGAACATCTTCTATGTACCATATACCAAAAAAAAAAATCTCATTTAATATCTGTGCAAAACCAATTTTATTGCCAGGTGTCACGATGCATCACTTTATGATTCATGGTACAGACAAGCCTGTTCCAAACAACGCTGACCCCTCCATCTTGTGTTGAAGGTGGCCTGTTTGCCTGCCCTTGGATTAGAGTTCTGAAGAGATGGGGAAATTCTTGGGAGGAGCAAAGGTGTGAGGGCAGGAGGGTTCATCATTCAGCTGCATGCAGGAGCAGAAGACACTCCCCTCTGAGGGAAGTTTCAGATCACTTTCCTTTGGGAAGGTTTGAAGCATCTTATAACCATTATTACTTCACTCTTCATATTATCCCTGTGAAGTGGGTGTCAATTGGGTGTGGCTTTTTAGCAGATGGAGCAACTAAGCATGAGAAGAGTGGCCAACGTCAACCCAGACAAAAGGCTGAAGACAAGACGGGTTTCTGGACTCCCAACATCTGTGCACACATCACCCCGCACCCACACCTGCCTGTGGACTGCTGACGTGGACGAAGGTCTTAAACTCGGAGTAGAAGATGAAAGCAGCTGCTAGAAAAAATTATAGGTCCTCTAAGGGGCCTTATCTCCCACGGAAATTATGAGACACAGAGTGAATATGTTCAATACTCAGGGAAGAAATGGACTATGTTCGAGGAAAATAAAATAAAGCACGTACATAGTTTTTGTGTTTTGATCCCAATTACTGACGTGACAGTGCGGGTGAATTTAGGTCTGGACCAGGATCTGCAGCAGTGGTGCAGCCGAAGGTCGGCTTTTCTCTCCCAGACACTCAGAGTCCAAGCCCTGCGGGCTGTTTCCCCCTGAGGTCATGTGGCTTGAATCATCACCACAGACAAGCAGGAGCATTTCCACTTCGCCGGGACCCAGGACTTACAGGAAATTACTCTCCTGCATGTCTGATCGCTATGGAAATTGATTTCCTACAGATAGGTACAAGCACACAGGCCCTCGCTGCATGCCTTCCAGCTCTGGGCCTGTGAACCGCACTCCACCTCCTGAATGAGGCCTCCGGGGCCTCCACAGCAGCAGGGGGCCCACCCTCTGGCTGGAGAACAGCCTTCTCCGGACTCCTATGTCCCGGAAAGCGATTGCATTGCAGGGGTCTGTCTCCAGTCCCTGTGAGCTATGAATGTGTTCACATGTGGTCACTGCAGCAAGGGAGAGAATATGTCAGAAGTCCTGGCAAGATGTTGGAGATGTTGGTTAGAAGCCACAAAGTGAGCAATTGCTTGTCTCTTTGTGATGTTAAAGTACAAAGAAATAGACCCAGGCTTGCACGGAAATGGCATGGCGCATGCCGTTCAGCTGATTTCTGAGGGCGGAGTATCAGCCACATCTGCTACTTGTTCCTATCAACGTCTTGTTGATCAGGAGAAATGTCTTTACTGACATTTCACTCTTTACTCCCGTCTTCTGCCTCTTGGGATTCTAAAGGTCATGTTCTATCTCCATCTTTAAGGAAGCACGTGGCCCAGCTGCCACTTGACCTGAAGGATGGATGAAAGACCTTGGGAGCGCAGGTACCAGATGGAGGCGAGCTTTGGGCCTTCAGTGCTCGGGTCTGAATCGGAAAGTGGTCTTGTTCTGCAACTAGTGCACATCTCAACTTTTTTTTTTTTTTAATATATTTTATTGATTTTTTACAGAGAGGAAGGGAGAGAGAGATAGAGAGTTAGAAACATCGATGAGAGAGAAACATCGATCAGCTGCCTCCTGCACATCTCCCACTGGGGATGTGCCCGCAACCCAGGTACATGCCCTTGACCGGAATCGAACCTGGGACCCTTGAGTCTGCAGGCCGACGCTCTATCCACTGAGCCAAACCGGTTTCGGCTGCACATTTCAACTTTACACACAGTTATTTACTTTCTTGATCAAAACAAGCAGTTTGTGCTGGGGTGTACGATGCAGGTTGCTGACTTAACATTTATAAAACAAGTACGCCCAGCGCTGCGGGGGAGGAAAAGCACTGAATGAAACTAACACATGAACACGCACACACAAACCCAGTGATTGACGAGCAAAGAAAGAGCTGGTTGCTGTCGATACCACAGGAGTGAGCTTTCGCCAGGCAGGCCAGGGCCCCGGATTTGTCCCCATTTCCTTCCAAGCACTTCCAGCCTTTCCTTCCCTTAGTCTCTTAAACATCATCTTTTAAACAGAAACCTCTCACTGACAATGTCTAAAACACAACTCTTCATCTCCTGCTTCCACTTCCAAACACTGCCCCACCCATCCCCTCTGCCCCACACCGACTCCCCAGACAAAAGAGGGCCCGGGTATTTCCAGTGCAACTTCAGTGACTGAGCGGCCAGAAGGAAAGGCTAACTTCATGCTGGAGGCCTCCATTCAACCTCACAACCCATCTTCAAGTCTCATCTCCGGAATCTCTCCGATTGCCTGTTACACTGCCACCGCCAGCATCCCGGCCCTTGTTCCAGCTCTAGATCTCTCCAGCGAACTGCTGCACTGGTCTAATTGGTCTCCTGACTTCTAGTTCTCCCATGCCCATCTGTCTCCCATGCTGCCCCCACCCCAGAGTACCTCTCCAATCTGCTGGTGGCACTCCCCTACCTAAAACCTCCAGTGGTACTTCTTTGCCTGAAGGCTGGAGGCAAGGGCTGATGAGCCCTTTCTCTGTGCACCCAGGACTGGGAAGCTCCCCAGAGCACTTCCCACACGGAGTCCCAGTGCTCTGCTTCGGGTATGCCTGCAGCAGTCAAGTAGGAGCTCCCTGGGGGCGGGGCATGGGATTTATTCCTTTCTGCTCCCTCGTGTCCAGCCTAGTACCCCACCCGGTAGGAAAGGTGCTCAACAGAGAATGTCAAGTTAACTGAAGCAAGAGAACAATGCAAAAGCAGCATGACAGCCCCTGAACCCTGACTGGCGGGTCTGATCTGAAAACCCTTGCCCTACAGAACGGCTCATGTGCCCAACAGATGCGCCTGAGAATCGTTTTGCAGTAGGGCCAACGATTAGGGGCTCAGGGGCCAGGTGTGGGGCCTTTATCTACCTGGGAGAAGTAGATAAAATTGGTACAATATGCTGCACAGGTAAAAGGGTAGACGGTCTGTTTCAATAGCTGAATTCGATTCTGAGATTAGTTAGCAGGAAAGATGGCTGAGTTTCAAAAAGTATTCCAGGACACTTGCTGAAATACGTTCACTGTAGGAAAGAAGCTGCCTTAACTTTTAAGGAGAATTTTTAAAAGGAACTTAAACCTGTTGGCCAGAACATGATCCTCCCTGGGAGAGGCATCCCCCCAAGAGGGGAAGGAGGTGGGTGCCGCTGGCCACTGTCACACAGAGATGTGCTCGTAGCTTCCACAATCACGACAAAGGCCTCTTTGTGGGCCCACAGTGTGCCACCTCCATACATATTCACAATGATAATATCCGGGTCCCCCAGAACCAGCGGGCTCAGGGCCGTCCAAGTGAACTCCATACCCTTATTAGGAAGAGGATGAAAAGAAAGACTTCCCCAACTAAAAAGGCACTTCGTTGCGTCCATGAAAATGACTATAATTGTGCCCTAAGGAGTTCTGAAAGAATGCACAGTCATTACTCAGAAACAGACTTTGGTGACAAGAGGTAATACACCATTTCTATTAGTTTTCTTCTTGTTTCATTCGGTGTTAGTTCATAGGGAAAGCACTCCATCCTATCAGAGGACCTGGGAAGTTATTCCAGGCAGGTATACAAGAATAAGGGAAAAATATGGCAGGTAAATTATTGTTCTTGGCCTTAGGAATAACGACCACCTCTGATGTGATTTTTGCATGACAAAAACCCACATTTCTGTTTAAAAAGAAAAGATGGTAAATCCGAAACGTTTCAGACCTTCCCAAACAAGCCACACCTCCTTCGAGCGGCCTCCTGGAAAAGCCAGTGACTGCAGCCCACGCAACCTCCCTGGATAAGACTTCCTTCAGCATCAAAGGCAGAGCAGAAAGAGGTACATTAAGGAATTTAACAAACGATATGGCTATGTTAATTCTGTATGATGCACTAGTTTGTGTTATGTGTGAGTTCCCATCTGACTGAAAAAAGAAAAAAAAAAGCCTAACAATAACATTTCTAACTGTTGGAGCAAGAATTGGAGGTAGATGGTGGAAGATGAAGAAAAACTCTCCACGCCTTCATGGCCCCCAGATCCTCCCTGAACTTCATGTCATCTCCTGGCAGCACAAGTCCTGACACCTGACCCTCACGACCCCCACATCAGGCTGCCTAAAGGCAGGCGGTCGACATGGAGGTGTCTGGCCTTGCATGGGTCCAAGTCAATGTCTGTGCGAAGGGATTTATCTCCACATTTGGAAATCTCCTCCGAGCATAAAATCATGGCTAAAACGGTGGGTCAGGAAGGAGAGTAATATTGGCTCTTCTTGAAAGAAATGTTAATTTCCCAAGATGCCCCCTTTAATGTTTCAATACCAATTTTGCTATTAGAAATTATGTTTCAGGGTATTCGCTTTTAGTGCCCAAATTAAGATAGGAAATTAGAAAGAAAGGGTCGGAATGAATCTAATCCAAACTTTGCTGTAGGTCTTAACCCCCCCGAATCCCCATAGGAGGTCAGCCAGACTAAAACTGGGCCCCCCCAGGACGAGGTCTCCCTCTTTCCAGAGCGAGCTTGCATTGCAAAGAGCATGGGCGAGGCCCAGGCAGCCTCACTCCGAACCGGGCTCACTCCCCTGCTCGCTAAGGGATCTTTAAGTTACTCAGCCTCTGGGAGCCTCCGTTTCTTCCCGTGGGACACTGCGGATAAGAGCAGAGGCTCCAGAGCCAGGCCACCTGGGAGCAGAGCCCACCCGCCACATGGAGCTGTGACGCCCTGGCTGCTCGCTCAGCCCTCGGCACCTCAGGCCTCTGGTAAAACAGGAATAAAACACAGCGCCCCAGGTAGCGATGTTCAGAGGATTAACTGAGTGCCTGCAAACAGTAACCACCCATGAAGTATTGGCTTAAAATAATCATGATGACTAATGACGATGAAGAAAGAGAAAAAGGAGGAGGAGGCCGCAGCAGCGGAGGAGGAGTGCTGTGATGAGGAGCCAATGATCTCCTGTAAGCAGATCCCGAAAGTGCCTGGTGCACAGAAGCTGTTATTGTTCTAACTACATCCATCATTAATTGAGCACCTACTTTTCATGTGTTATCCCCTTTGATCCTCCGGAAAGCCTGCCAGAGGGTAGCAAACAGGAATTTGGAGGGACGAAGTGACCTGATCCGAATGTTATATGTGGGAAGGGGCAGAGCTGGGTTAGAACCTTGAAGAGCCGAGCTTCAAATCCCTGGCTTTTCTTGATACCCCACCTTTCACCTTCAATGGAACAGTGTTTGCTTGTATGGAGCCATGTTCTCTACAGCCCCCGGGGCTTTAGGACCGTCCTCTCTGCCACTCTTTCCACAGCAGCTGAGGCCACACTGTGTCCTTGGCTTGCCTCATATACCACTTGGGGGGCCCCCAGCTCTGGGGGAATCCCTGCTGTGCCCCCTGGCTCCCACTATTCACATGAGCCCATTTCTAAGTTTGGCTGATGCTCCCGGGACTCCTGCTGGCTGGGCCAGGTCCTTGCCTCTACTAAGAGAGGAAGACTGAACTTCCTCAGTTTAGTAAGCCAGACAATGGCAGGGTCGTTTTTAACATTAAAAGTAAAACGAGGCTCTTAATTCCTAAGTTGGTCCTCACCTTTTTTCTTCTGGGATGTTCTCCAACAGCATTTGAAGGAAATCCTGGAATAAGAAAAAAGCAAACCATGAAAAACGTCCATCGATGTGTCACTGCCCCCGGCTGCCGGCAGCTCACCTGCTCTCGAAGCTGGGCCCATGCTGGGTCACTGGGCTATGCGCCCGATGTATTAATTACGGCGCTTCAGTCCAATCAGGTAAAGAGATTTGTTTTGTGAAAACCACAAACAAATTGAAAAATGTAGTGTTTGTTATTTTGACCTAAAGCAACAGTTTATTTCATTTCATGTCTCAACTATGTATTTTCAAAAGGCTGTCCCCCAGAAAGCTCTGTCCCCCACCTAACCGAGTCCCCGTCATGAGCCCTGTAACGGACTGAACGACCTCAGCGCCAAGAGGCTGGTGAGTGACTTGCAACTTTCTTGCTTTGCTCTTTGGAAAGATAATGACAGAGCTCAAGACGATTTCTATCCCCGACCGTCCCCGGGGAGGAACCAAGCGGCTACAGCCAGAATGGTTCCGGTTCCCTGGCTCCGCCTGCAGCCTCTCCTAGTGCCACTGACACCTAGGATGTTTCAATAATAAATTTTTTAAACCTAAAGACATGACTTACACACACTCATTGTTTCCTCTACTATGGAAAATTTCAAACACATTCAAAAGGAGACAAAAGAGTATAATTAACCTTCATGTACCCATCAACCCACAGCCAATATGCCCCATCCACTTATCTGCCTCTTGTATTATTTAGAAGCGAACCCCAAACATTACATAATTTCACCAATCAATGTTTCAGTAAATTGCTCTGAAATATAAGGACTCTTTTAAAACATAACCACAATACCATAAGGCCTAAAAAAATCACATATGAATGTGCAATATCATTTATATTTAATTTGCACCTTGAATATTGTGACCATGTCAGTCCATCTAATTCTAGAATCTTGATTTGGCCTCAACTAGGTTTGTCAGATACAATATTGGATGCCCAGTTAAATTGGAGGCATGCTTACACTAAAAGAGTATTTGCTGTTTATCTGAAATGCAAATTTAACCTGGTGTTGTGCATTTTTACTTCCTAAATTAAACCTCCTACCATCTGAAGATTTGACAAGATACACTTCAGAAAAAATATAGAACATGCAGCAAACAAGAACAACCTGTAATGTTTTTGGGATCTACACTTGAAGTTTTTCTTTTAATAAACTGACAATCTTGTAAAGCAGGTCCTTGCAAGAGCTCAGATGACCAGCTATGGCACTGCCAAATGAACGTCCCTGGATGGAAGCCCCGCCCCCACACCCCCTCAGCCAAGCCTGCAGATGCGGGCAGTGCAGGCTCTGATGAGACCCATTTAACTCAGAATGTGAGATGGAAGCAGCAGCTCAGACCCTGGGATTACAAACAGATGGAAGCACGGAGGACTGGAAATCTGCAAACAATTTGTATGACAAGGTGTTCTTCTTCTATCAACACATGAGGCAAAGCCATCGCACATTGGCGAAGCCTGACAGCCCTTCCTATGAGTTTATGGGTGCGTAGTAGGTCCATTTCTTCCAGAGGCAAAGACTCCCTATTAAGGGCAGTAATGAAAAATTTATTTCTTGCAAATCCCGTTCTCCTTCTAAGGCTTCACTTGTGTATTTTGCTTCACCCAAAATAAACGATACAAAGAATACCAACTAATATTAAAAGCATGGATCATGCAGGCAAATGGAAGGGGACAAGCCCCAATACAATGACCCCTCACATCTGAAGTCCCTCCTTGCACCTGCAGTTGATGCAGTACATGGAGGAAATACCAAAGGAAGCAAGAGCAATATTTAGAATTGGAAGAATTACTTTTGCTTGAGGTTCTTTAAGTCATTATCTTTACTGTAATAATTATTTTGTATAAATGTTGAATTAGAAATTAATTTATCACAACTGACTTATTAATAGGTTACATTGCAGATATTTCACTGGTTGAATGGCAGTATTCTTGCTTCCTAAAAATCCAAATTATACGGTAAGTATAATTTCTTACTAATTTCACTTCATTATCTCCTTAGAGCCCATATCAACTTATCCCATATTTGTCCAGTAGTGTATCCTCATTTATGTGTGTGTGTGTGTGGGAGGGGAGGTGTGGGGTATTACATTAATTCAATGGCAAGGGGGAGAATTTAATTGCGTGAGAAGCAGGAAATACAGAGTTAACCTTAATTCTGTCCTTTTGCATTTTCCAGTTACAACTGGATCTTTATTTATAGGACTGCAGAGAACAATGTTCCAGAATTTTCAGTGAATACAGGAAATTTTTGTATTCTATTTTGTTTGTCAATTTATTTTGTCCTATTTTGTTAGTCAATTTATTTTGTTCATTAGATTCCACATATAAGTGAAATCTGTCTTTCTCTGACTGGCTTATTTCACTTAGCATAATAATCTCCAGGTACCTCCATGCTGTTGCAAAGGGTAAGAGTTACTTCTTTTTTTTTACAGTCTCATAGTATTCCATTATGTCCACTGCTTTTCTATCTACTCAGCTACTGATGGACACTTGGGCAGTTTCCAAATTGCAAATAATGCTGCTATGAACATAGGAATGCATAGATTCTTTCTGATTGGTGTTTTGGGATTGTTAGGATATATTCCCAGAAGTAAATTCACTGGGTCAAAGGGCAGTTCCGTTTTTAATTTTTTGAGGAGACTCCATACTGTCTTCCACAGTGGCTGCACCACCTGCATTCCCACCAGCAGTGCACTTGGGTTCCCGTTTCTTCACATCCTCACCAGCACTTGTTGCTGATTTATTGATGGTAGCCACTCTGGCTGGTATGAAGTGATTGATATCTTATTATATTTTCAATTTGCATCTCTGATGATTACTGATGTTGAGCATTTTTTCATATACATATTGGCCATCTATCTGTATGTCCTCTTTGGAGAAGTATCTATTCAGATCCTTTGCCCACTTTTTAATTGGATTGTCTCCCGGGTGTTGAATTGTATAAATTCTTTATACATTTTGGATATTAACCCCTTAACAGATGTATCATTGGCAAATATGTTCTCCCATACATGGTGGTTCCTTTTGCTGTGCAGAAGCTTTGTAGTTTGATGTAGTCCCATCTGTTGCCCCATTTGTAGGTAGGCTTGGCCCTTGGGCTGGCTGCCTGTGAGACTCAACCCCAACCATGCTATGCAAACTGTTGCACAGGTGCTGACAGAACAATACAAAATAAAACACAACAAAACAAAGCAAAAAACAACATGGAAAAATAAAGCAACCCACCGCCACTAACAAAAACAACAACAGAAAAAAAGAATAAAAAGAGAAAAAAGGGGCAAAGAAGGAATAATAAAAGACAAGAGGCAAAAAGAACAAGAGCATGAATAGAAAGAAGGAATAAAAAAAAATTAAAAGAAAAAATAATAAGCCTGGAGAATGGCTGAATTCAAGGCAGTCATTAGGGATGTTGGTGCCATTTTCAAAATAGGGAATCAACCCGGCCGGCGTGGCTCAGTGGTTGAGTGTCAACCTATGAACCAGGAGGTTGCGGTTTGATTCCCAGTCCAGGCATATGCCTGGGTTGCGGGCTGGATCCCCAGTGTAGGGTGTGTAGGAGGCAGACAATTGATGATTCTCTCTCATCACTAATGTTTCTCTCTCTCTCTCCCTCTCCCTTCCTCTCTGAAATCAATAAAAATATATTAAAACAAAAACAGGAAATCACCAGAAGAGGATCAGAAAGAATTCAGGTCCTCCATATTGAAGCACAAAAGACCCCTCCAGGAAGGGGTGTCCAGCAGAAGACTAGATAAACAGTTTTGGAATCACTGGAGAGGCCATAGAGTATAGGTCCCTCTTCTTTGAAGACACACCTCACCTCCTTGTTCTGAAAGCTGTAGATGAGCAGGTTGAACATGAGGGTCACAAGGTTGTAGGAGAGGGACACCACCTGCTTGCTCTCCAGGGAATAGTGGCCTTGGGTCACAAGTGGATGACCCCATTGTAGCATAAAGCTGAATGAGCATGACCAGGTGGGAGGCACACACATAAAAAAAGTAATAATAATAAATAAAATATAGAATAGGAAAAGGAAAATGGCAAAAAGAATTTTAAAAAGAGAAAAAATAGAATAAATAAAGGAAAGAGAGAAATAAGAGATATGAAAGGAAAAAGAGAAGAAAGAAATAAATTAGGAAATAAAATATAAAAAAAGATTTAAAAAAAAAAATAAGAGGAGTTTGCCCCCGCAGGTTTTGGTGCCTGCTACAAGCACAGTTTCCAGAGTCAATCCCTGTTTGTTAACTTGCTTACTTCTATGTGAAGTTTGGCCCCACAACCATATAAACTGAGTCTTTCTCTGATAGTTTTGAGGTCAGGCTGTCTGAATATTTCAGTGTATCTTATCAATCTCTCAGTTTATCAAATATATATGGTGCACATACTGTTTGTCAATCATGTATTAAGTATTCATCAAATAAAGAGCATGGTCTGGCCTTCATGAGCTTATACATAGAATGGAGGAGAAAGAAAAAAACCCAAGTGATCTTAAATAAAAATCTATATATATAAAAGCCTAAGCAACCGAATGACCGGTTGTCTGGTTGCTATGACGCACACTGACCACCAGGGAGCTGCCCCCTGGTGGTCAGTGCACTCCACAGCCAACCTCCTGCGGTCCCTCCCCCCACAGCTGGCTGGCTCTGATCAAGGCAGCTGGCCAACCTCCCATAGCCTCTCCCCCGGCCAGCCGGTCAACCTCCCGCAGCCCCTGCCCCCACCAGCCAACCTCCCACAGCCCTGATCGGCCCGAATTGCTGGCCAGGCCGAGGGACCCCACCCGTGCACAAATTCGTGCACCGGGCCTCAAATAAAATGATAAATAATGGCAATGGCAATGACAATGAAGGCAATGAAAAAGGCAAAGGGTAGAGATTAGCATGGTGGATGCAGATCTGATTAGCTGGGGTGACTCTGAGTGTGTGGCATTTGAGCTGAGACAAAAGGATAAGATCACTGCAGGTAGAGGAACAGCAGGGCTCCTTTTTTTGCTTTTGTTCTTAAGGTCACTTAAGATTCAGCTATCTACATCCCTGCACAGGACAGCTTTGGGTCTCAGATGGTCCCGAAACTACAGGGGGATCACCCTCCCTAAAACAACACTTTCCTATGTCCACTTCATTAACTTCCTATTTTTCCTATTGCATTAAATCATAAATCTTTCCCCCACTTTTTAATACTCATATAATCTATTCCCCACATGCCACACCCCCACGGACTCACAAGGACTCATATATTACCTGGGAAAGAATCAGCTGCCCATGAAATGTGTGCACAAATTTTCTTAAAAAGGAAAAATAGGTGTCATCTCCAAGTCTTCTGGCAAGGAACCGGAGAAGGAAATAACCCTGGAAGAAAGGAAGTAGAAGAAAAAAGATGCCTATCATGGATTAATCGGAAAAATGCTTACACAGTCAACCCTGACTTACCCACCAGCACTTTATGCACATCTAGAATGTCCCATGTGATGTGTTCCAGGCTGCCCTTTATATTCTTTACTAGAGGCGTGATGCACAAAATTCGTGCAAGAGTAGGCCTTCCTTCCCCCAGGCTGCCGGCATCGGCTTGCCTCTGGCACCCAGGACCCGGGACCCAGGCTTTCCTCTGGCTGCCAGCACCCAGGACCTGGGCTTCCCTTGCAGAGGGAGGCCCCGCCCACCTGCTACAGCCAGCTGGTCGGTGGCCTGGGCCTCCCTCTGTGAGGCGATCCTGGGGCGATGGCCTGGCCCCTGACCAATCGCATTGCACCCACCTTGGCTGGCTTGGCGCCAGTGGGTGTCACAGGGTGGTCCCGGATGGTTGTCCGGATGGTCATTCTGCTGTTCGGCTGTTTGGTCGATTTGCATATTATGCTTTTATTATATAGGATTTCAAACTTATGTTTATTGTTGAAAGCATTACAGATGTCCCCCTTTTTTCCCTCTCATTGACCTCCTCCACCCAGATCTCACCCCCTCCCCAGGCCTTCAAAGCACTACTGTCTGTGTCTATGGGTTATGCATATCTATATATATAAAAGCCCAGCGACTGGAATGGTGGAACGACCAGAATGACCAGAATGACCGGTGGCTATTACACGCACTGCGGCAGCCAACAAGCCTGATCTGGGTCCTGATTGCCCCACCACCAGCCTGGCCACGATTTGGCCCCCAACACCCTGATTGGGGGTGGAGCCGGCTGGCCAACTGCCTGCAGCCCCTCTCCCCAACCAGCCCGGCCCAATAGGCCCCCATTGGGGCGGGCCAGCTGGACCCCACCTGTGCATGAATTCGTGCACCAGGCCTCTAGTATGCATATAAGTTCTTTAGTTAATCTCTTGCTACCCACCCTCCACCCCCATCCTGCCCTTCCCTCTGAAATACATCAGTCTGTTGCATGCTTCCATGTCTCTGGGTCTATTTTGTTCATCAGTTAATTTTGTTCATTAGATTCCACATATAAGTGAGATCATGTGATATGTGTCTTTCTAGAAATTAAGGATCGACTACTTTGCTTTCAACTCATCTGGGTATTCCCCTTGGTTTACATGAAGCCTGGACACACATCTCAAACTAGAAGGGCCGGGTCCTGGCTCTGTTCTTCCTCAGCTATCGGGAGAGGCCTTTCACCTTAAAATGCTTCCTTCTTGCTCCTATGCTCCAGTTGGAACCTGACAACAATTTTAAGATTCTGCTCTTCAAAGCTGACGTGCAGCAGGGAGAAGGGAGGTATAGGGCAGGAAATAGTTCAGGTTCCTTTGGTTCATGCCTCATTTTGGGGGTATAAAGTGTTTTAATTATTAGACAATCAGATATCTACCCAGTCAAATGTCATTACAATGTTGATCATTGTCCTGTTTAGCTCAACCATGTTATTAATCTTCACTGTTTATGTGCATAATCTAAAAAATGCTATCCCATAGTCGCTGGCTTCTGCCACTTAGCTGTGCTTACCTTTAAATAATGAACCTGCATGAAGACCTTCTCTGGATTGAGCCCATGCTTAATGACAGACGATCCTGAGTCACTCACATGGCCAGTTTTCTCTTTATTGGGTCTAAAATGATGTAGTAAAAGTATAGCACATTCTTAACTAATTAGACCACAATATCGCCTTACTCTTATTTTTAGAGTTGCCCAACAGTGTCTTAATTCTATTCAACAGTACCAGGTATACAGTAATTTAAAACAGTTTATGTTATACATTCATATACTGAACAAGTAGGGATTCATATTTGGGTTGGCAACCTAAGGTTGGCTATTGGCAATATTTTACATCATCTTATCCAAGATTAAAACTTGCCAGACTCTCATGGAATCTAAGCTCCAATATGCATTATTTAAGAACCTGCTTTTCTTTTGGTGGGAATGATGAACTGGGAAATACAATGAAAAATGTAGCTTTGCTTGGAAGAGTAAAAAACTTACATCAAAAAAATTCTTTTTTGAAAGCCCCAATGTTATCCACTTCTTTCGACTTGCATTTAAGGCTCCTTTAAGAAATATTTGTTTAACAAACTAGCAAGACAGGAGCAAACTCATAGACACAGAGAACAAACTGATGGTTGCCAGATGGGAGTGGGGTTGGGAAACTGAATGAAAAGGTGAAGAGATTAAGAAGTACAAATGGGCAGTTACAAAATAGTTATGAGGATGTAAAGTACAGCTTAGGGAATACAGTCAATAATATTCTAATAACTACATGCTGTCAGGTGGGTGCAAGACTTATGGGGGAATCACTTTGTAAGTTATATAAATGTCTAACCACTATGCTGTATAGCTGAAGCTAATATAATATTGAATGTCAACTGTCATTGAAAAATAAAAAAAAATTTTAAAAAGAAATATTTGTACTAGGAAGCTGTTTTAGAATCACAAAAACACACACACAAAAGCAAACATTATTGAAGCCCATGCTTGTAGAACAGGTAGGGACATTCGCAACCACACACTTCACCTCCTCAGTTCGCAAACAAGGGGGAGCGGAGGGCTCGTGGCTTGTTTTGACTCATGGTGACATTAGGGCTGAAACCAAGACTGTTTTAAATATTTTTAAAAATTTCTTTAATAAAATACAATTGTGTTACAGTGAAGCTTCACCAATTAGCTAAAGTTAAAATATGTGACAAGGCATTTGCAGCTTTTAGCTGTCCGAAAACCAGTCCCTTGTTGGGCGAACACTGAAGAGCATGTGTTGGGTGAGTGACTGGGAAGCATGGGCCGCTGAGAGGATGAGCATACCAGAAAGGCCAGTGGCTATTTTCAACAGGTAGTGTGCACAAGTACCAGGGACATGGCCATTGGGATCTAAGAGAACCGGTGTTGAGTTGCAACCCTACTTCTTAAACCTGTTTCTTACTAGCAGGTTAGTGAAATTCTCAAATCTTTAATTTATTCACTTGCAAAATGCAAATAATCCTATGTATCTCCCCACTTCCTATGGAAAATAATTGAAATAATATATGCAAAATCCCCAGTAAGGGCTAGGGCTACATAAATTACTCAACAAACTTAATAAAATATCATACATTTGTTAGCAATAAGTACTGCTAAATTCAAGGTTGGCCATCTATGTTAGAGGCACTGGGGTAGGCTGTTCTTTCACTTCATGCCCCGTGTCCACTAACACATCCTGTAAGGATGCCGGGCCTAAATGGAAGTGGCCATGATGGGCCAGCCTGCCAAGCCAATCCCTGTGCAGCGTGCGCTAGCTGCGCGCACAGAACGTCCCATTAGGCCTCTGCCGGAGATTTCAGCACCTGATCCCAGCAGACACAGGCCTGGAACCAGCAGATACCTCAAGAGAAGACAACCACCAGCCACTAGAGCAAACTGCATAGTTTCCATTTTTCTACTCGGTCCCTGACTTATCTACATGACTATACTTGCAGGAATAACTAGTCCCTTTCATCGTCATTTAAGACTCCATTGAAAAGCATCAGCTTTATTCTTGTTCTCAAGTTTGTCCTGGGTGGAGCGTCCTATAAAGAAAACCACACTGGCTTTGAGAGGGAAAGCCCAGCCAGCCTTGCAGGGAGAAAGGCTTTTCAGAACCTGAATTCAAACCAGTTTTCCCAACCCTGCGAGAGCCAGAGTTGCTGTGAGTTTAAGTCCCTGAGCTCTGAATGAGGCCAGTAGAAGGGCTGGGGCACCGAAGACAGCCCTAAACCTCTGGGTGGAAGGCTGGCTTCCAGGTTCCCAATGACGCTTTCAGTTGCTTTTTCCCCTTTGCCTAAAAAAGTCCTTCCAGAAACCATCCCTCTTATTCTCTGCTTCCACCCTCTCCAAGCGAAGGAGTGTTCAAGGAAATTCTTTTATGCTGACAGCATCCGAGGCAACCTTACAGTCCCCAGGAGACTCCTTTCAAAGTGGACATGGCGCTGGAGGGAGCAGTGCCCGGGCAAGCCTCGGCTTCCTGAGGCACAGATGCTCCGTGAGCGGGAGATGGCCGACTTCCCGGAAAGCACTTATCCCAGGTCTGTCCAGAGAGACACTGCACAGAGAGCATGCGGGACCCACTTCGTGTAAGAACAGAGGCTAATGCAGCCCCACTTCGTGTAAGAACAGTGACTCTCAAGGTGAGTGACTGCAGTCACAGCACCGCCGTCTCCCTTCCCCGTGGTGTCACTCTCCGCAGTTTCAGTTACCTGCAGTCAACTGAGGACCAAAAATATTAACTTAAAAATTCCATAAACAACTGATAAGTTTTAGCCTGCATGCCACTGAGCAGCTTGATGAAATCTCACGCCTACCCCCTGTGTGTCATGCCTGGGACATGAATCACCGCTTTGTCCAGCGTATCCACGTGATTATGCGCTCCCTGCCTGTTAGTCACGTGGGCGCCTTCTCCATGATCAGATCAACTGTCCGGGTAGCACAGGGCCTCTGTTCATCACCCTTATTTTACTTCATAATGGCCCCAAAGCACAAGAGTAGTGCTGCTGGCAATTCAGAAACGCCTGAGAGAAGGCAGAAAGGGTTTCCATTAAGTGTATGTCTAGAAAACAACATAGCATGGGTAGGGTTCGGTACTACCCCTGCTTTCAGGCATCCACTGGGGGTTTTGGAACATGTGTCCCACGGGTAATGGGGTGGAGAGGGAGAAACTGCTGTACACACAAGTGCACAATTCCATTCACATGGAGTCAAAGAACAGGCAAGCCAGGGTCCTGGGGGTGGAGGTCAGAGGGAGGGTTCCATTTAGGCAGGAGTGCCGACGGGGGGAAGAGGGAGATTGCTGGGATGCTGGGAATGTTCCACAGAGTAGTCACAGTGGTGCTGTCAAGAGGATAAATAGTAAAGCTCTGCTGAGCCATCTAGAAACACTGCAGTGTGTGTGTGTGTATGTGTGTGTATATGTGTGTATGTGTATATGTGTGTATGTGTGTGTGTATGTGTGTGAGTGTGATAATTTAATTTAAAGGTTAAGAAGAACAGATGCATACGGAACTATATATTTTGTGAAAACAAAAGGGAATCAGTCTAGAAAAGGGCATGGCTGTTCACGTGCCCTGAACGGGTGACCAGGATTAACTAAGCCCTCTAACCTGACGACCCAAGAGGCAGGAAGAACTGTGGCAAATACCATTGGCTCAGGCTATTCCCAGTTCACCCACCTTCTTCCGTGCCACCACTTATCCATCAAATCTGAAACGTTCAATCCTCACTTTCCGAGTCCCTGCAGCTACAAATGGTCAGAAGACATGGTCTGGGCCAGTGAGACAAAAGCAGAAATCTGCTGTGGCTGGAAGCGGGGCTCTGGGGTAGCTTTTGCTTTCTTTACAAAAGCGGGGGGGGGGGGTCCCTGGTACTGCACCCCTCCTCCCAGTCATGGTAGATGGAATGCAGCAGCCACCTAGCAGCCATGAAGCAGCAAATCAAAACGCTCTGGAGACCAGAAGGAGTGAAAGGCAAGTGGCCTTTGATGGTGTCATTGGCTGCCTGCGACTGCCTGCTTCAAACTTCTTACTGTGTGAGAAAAATAACCCCCATGTGTTTCAGTTGATATTGCTCACTTTTCTAGTAATTGTAGGTAGATTTATCTCTAATAGATGGAGAACCAAACTAATATTAACCACTACCATTTCCTGGAATCCCTGTGCCAGGTACTTTGCCAAGCTCTTCTTAGGCATCATGTCCTTCTCCCTCACAAGGAACTGATGGCACAGGGACTGTGATTATGCCCATTTAAAAGCAGGGAAGAGTGAGGCCTGGACATACCACAAAACGGATTAGTGGCAGACCTGAGGCTGGACCCAAGGTCCATGGAACACCGGCCTCTGCTGCATTCTGGGGCCTCGCCAAGATCCAGCCCTCATCTGGGTTGTGCCAGACACTAAGTGGAGAGCCTCAGGCGTGTTTCTTACCCTCCCTGAAGCTCAGTTCCTCACCTGGAGAGTGTGATGGCCTTGGCCAGCTTTCCCAGTGGTTAGAGCGTCGGCTCTTGGACCAAAGGGTCTCAGGTTCGACTTCTGGTCAAGGGCATGTACCTCAGTTTCATGTTTGATCCCTAGCCACAGTCAGGGTGCATGCAGGAGGCAACCAGTCACTGTGTCTCTCTCACATCGATGATTCTCTCTCTCTCTCTCTTCCCCCCTCCCTTTCACTCTATGACCAATGGAAAAAATATCCTTGGTGAGGATTAAAAATCATAACACTAATAAAAAGAATGTGACGAGACGCAGGTAATATAAATAAAAACACTCTGTGAGTGTGACCGCACGTCTTAGACACGACATGCCAGTGTTTGTTTCCTTGGCTGGAATACAAGGAATGCAAGAGATCAAGTTACGAAGGTCGTCTGGGCTGAAATGCCCTTGGTTTCTGTTGTACCTGGCACCAAACACAACAACTGAGATCAGCCTGCCCTGCCCTGCCCTGCCCACCTCCCTCCCTCTCCACTGCACTCCCAGACGCAGTGTGGACATCTCAGTGTGGGGCAGTGACACTGATACACAGTGATTTGATTTGGAACCCTGCCTCCTGAGAAAGGACTGATTCTGCAGGACTCTCACCAAGGGTGGGATTTGGGAAAATGCCTCTGAAAGGTGCTCAGGC